GCTTTTCTTTCCTCTCCTTCCCTCCCCTCCCCTCCCCTCCCCTTCCCTCTTTCTGTTCTAATGGAGGCACTGGGGATTGAACCCAGGACCTCGTGCATGCTAGACACGCACCCTACCACTGAGCTCTCCCCTCCGCTCCCCAGTGTGGGCTTGATGACAGGTGGGCCTGCCTTACGCAGCACCTGATCCGTGGTGTTGAGGGGCCCGGCCTTCCCACACAGACCCTGAGGGTGCTCCGCCTCATCTCCTCCCTCGGCCTTTCCTGTTCTTCAGGAATTGGTCATTTCAGTTTGTTATTTTCTTCTGTCTGTCTTTTTCTACCTTCTTGCTTTTTTGCTTTTGTTATTGTTTAAATCACTACTCATCAGAACTGTCATCATTTGCATTTTAACAGTTTATCCAGCATGATGAAGTTGGAAACATAATAAATGGTTAAAATAAACACCCTTGGCCTCTCTGTAGGTTGCCATTAATCCATTCTACCCAGGTATTCTGTGAAAATGGCTCATTGATAGTAAATTCTAAAGATTTTTTTAAAAGCTAACTTCACCTGTGTAAAAAGCATTAACAAGTACTCTTTTTTATTGTGACTTGAATAACATGAATATGACTAATATTTTTGAGTCTAACAAGTTATATTTTTTATGGTCTAAAAAGTAACGCTACCGTACAGCATTGGAATAGCAGAGTAAACAGCGGAGAACAGCAGTGTCAGTACACCGTGTATCTTTGAGTTTACAAAATTTGTAGATCCCATGCTCATTTTTTAAAAAAGGAAAAGGTATATACAATGTATGTAAATGCATGCAAAAATACACAGTAAAGACACTAGAAGAAAATACACCAAAATATGGACTATGAGTGACTCTGAGTAGTGGGATTAAGAATGATTCTTTAGTTTCTCCCTTTGCTTCTCTAAGTTTAAATTTTTGTCTTTAATAAATATATACAATTTGGGGGAAAAAAGTAATGCGGCTCTATAACTAAAATTTTATGGCAAACTGAGAGTTTGATGTTTCTAAATTTTAAAGTTTTCTGCTTTATTGACCAATATTAAAGGGGAAAATGTCTAGAAATTATTAAAGAAAGTTATTGGAATATTCTTACTTAATTGTAAGTAAAGCCTATTTACTTATGAGTCTGATACGTGCATCATTTAAAGCAGGATACATTTCTTTCTGCTGACGTTTAAATGAACGTGGATGACATTCTTATGTAGTAATAGACCTGTAAAACAAAATGTGTAAATTGGGGTGCTTTAGAGTACAAATGTAAAACCAATTTAAATCGTAAGAAAACTTGATGGTTCATAAAAGAGAAGTCAGGAAAGTAGGTCAGCAAAGGTCTGGATTCTTTCTGCGTCCCGGCTCTGCCACCCACGTAGCAGTGTCATCAGAAGACTGAGCTTCCTTGTGGTTGTAGGATGGCTATCAGATCACCTGCAACTCTGCTTCCTTGCTCATCACTCTGGGGATGATAGACACTGGCTTTGCATGGCACTCCCTTTAGAGCCGGAAAGTTTCTTCCCCAGAATCCCCCAGAATATTGGGTCCCGGGGGCCCAGGTTGACGTGGGTCTGGCCATTCCTAAAGTCGTCTTTGGTGGGGTAGTGGTGGGGGAGTGAGTGGCAGGATTATTGTCATAAATTTACTGAACAATGGGCAAGGAATAGACGCTGGGAAATTAGTTAAAATGCTCTTTGCAATTCTCAGAATATTGGTTTATTTTTTGAATGAATTGTTTATTTTTCAGAGTATTGGTGTATTTTTTGATAACTGCTTGATCCAGTAGAAAATGTGTTGCTCAGGGTAAACTTGGTTTATGCTAAGATTGGGACTATTACACTAAGTACGATATTTGGCATGTTTCTCATTTACTTTTTAGTGGAGACGTTTCTCTTTGTCCCAAATAACTTAGATCATAAACATCTTCAGAGATAAGTTATCATTAGCTAAGTTTTAGTTGGCAGGCGGAAACGCACTGCCGAAGTGTAACTTGGTGCAGCTGGCTCTCGTAGGTGATTCTCTTCATCTTATCTGTTGCTGTGTAGACTTTTTGCAAAGGCGCTACACTGATTTTTTGAAAACAGCACGTTTTGGAGCACTGGGGAGTCGTTTCACGTGAAGGGCCCCACAAATGTAAACACTGCTGTGAGCAGGGTTGACAGCGTCTCCCTACAGTGATGGCAGTTCCCCGGGGTGCTGGTGGGGTCCGGCATCTTCCCACGGGTGTGTTCCTGGTAACGTCTGCTTCAGCTGCCGATCGGAGAGTGAGGTGCCAGCACTTTCATCTTGACGCTCTCCCTGTCAGATTCCCAAACTGACGGCGGTCGTCACCCTTTGCTGTCTTTCTTGCTTCCCAGCCAAGGGTGATGGCCTGGCCCCAGTTCCCGTAACAGGTCTTGCTGTTACGGTGCTTCCCCCAGCGAGAGTCGGGACCACGTGGGGAGATGCTGGAGTATAAGCTGTATGTGGTGCAGGTGCTTTTTTTTAAACAGGAATACAGTGTCTTCCCTGAAATCAATGCATGAAGCAAAATCCACATGAAAGAATTGCTGAGCTCTTTCCTCGCGGCACTGACGCTGATGCTCGTCTTTTTAAGGGTTTACATCTCCACATTCAGTGACTCTTTGATCTAACAGTTCTGCTTGTTAGTAGTTTTCAACACGTCTTTTAGGAAACCTTGTTTTCTTTGAAATTTCTCTTTAGCTAGAGAAATTTCTCTTAGGAACAAACCCGTCTTTGCTACCGACTTCCCATTTTTATCAGCCCGTCTTTGTGATCTCTAGCTTATGTGAACAGTTTAACTGTTCTTAAATCAGAAACTTAGGCCGAAGAATCCTAACTCAGTCAGTGTCCTCCATGCTCTGAAAAAAAAAAGGTGTATTTCTAAGGTCACTTTTGCATTTGATAAGCTTTTGTCTATAGGGACTCTCTTTACACAGACCTGCAGCCTTTTCCTCATGCCTGTGTTCTGGCACTGCCTGTGTTCTCATAGGTATGTCTAATACAGTGGTAGATGCACATGCAGATTTATCTTAGTGTCTGGCATATTTAGTGAATATTTACAGAATGGATAACAGAAATTGGATCGAGCATCGTGCCTGACCATCCGTCAGATGAGTGCTGATCACGTGAATTCGCAGAAGCCGCCCCTGTAGACGTGATCCTCAGGGTGCACTGGGGTGACGGTAGCGGGGACATCAGCAGTCCGTGACATCTGCACCAGAGTGTTTGGAGCTCCTGCGCTCAGGCTGTCCCGACTCAGGACCCGCGTCTGCTCTGCCCTGTGCTTATGTCACAGGGTTGGTCGCTGGGACAGTTGCTGTGTGTGTGTGTCTGTGAGGCTGCCGTGACCCCCAGTTACGCCCGTCCGCAAAAACCCGAGGGAGCCCTACACCTGGAAGGTGGAGCTTTGGTGAATCATACACACAGGAGAGTGTTCAGGAGACCTGCCCTGTTTGCTCAGAGTGGCCGCCGTGCCTCTGCTCTGGCCTTGTGTTCATGAAGGAGCCCTGAGTCCTTCTTCCAGGTGCTTGAGGGTGAATTAGAGTCATCT